AACAAAATCAAATGTTTTTCACAACAAACTAATTTTAGGGCTCAGAAAACAGTACCCCAAAGTGAAGGCCTCAGATCAAGCCTCAGAAGTAAGATTTCTCTCAGTCCTGCCCTCCTGTTTCTCACCCCTCATTCTTTCCAACAAGCCATAGAAACTAGACTGCCTCTTTCCCAAGGTGGATCATAGAACTCTTTTCCCTGAAAGCCAGTTATAGAGCATAAAAACATTAATCTTCCCCCCATCTTTCTGTGTAAAAGCCGGCCATAGAGATCTGACCTACCTTGTTTGATGGTAGATCATAAGACCCCCATTCTAGCAAGGGATGCCTCATACATGGGAAGAATTAATAGAGAGAGTCCAAGAAGAATCTGTATAGACAGGTCTTGCTGGGTTTCCCTGGGTTTCCCTACCTCACTCAATCTACTAGCATTAAATAAGACCCTTGATGTCCAATCATATTTCTATACTGCTGTTCTTTCTTTATCAAATCTAAGCATAAAAATGAGTAGTTTTCCCTGTATCATTGGGTCTTTATTCTAAAGCCTCTAGTGTTGTATAAAACTATGATTAAATAAGTCTGTTATGCTTTTCTCTTTTTAACCTGTCTTTTGTTATAGCAATGTTGGCTGTGACCCTTATGATGGAAGAGTGGGAGGGATAATCTTTTTGCCCCTATAGTAGGAATACAAGGGATCTTACTCAACCTGATGAAGGGCACCTAGAAACCCACAGCTTACATAATACTTAAAGGCAAAAGACTGAGTGCTTTCCCCAATATCAGAAATAAGACATGGATGCCCACACTCACCACTTCTATTCAATATTGTACTGGAGGTTCAAATCAGGTGATTGGTAAAGAAAAAGACACAAAGGGCATCCAGACTGGAAAGAAGTAAAATGATTTCTATTCACAGATGACATGATCTTAGAGAAAGCTCAAAAGAATCCACAAAAAACTATTAGCACTAATAAATGAGTTCAGCAGGATACAATGTCAATATGCAAAAATAATTGTGATTGTGTTTCTCTACTTTCTTACTTTTTCTTTTTCTTTTTTTTTGGCAGAGTCTCCCTCTAATGCTTAGGCTGATGTGCAGTGGTGTGACCTCAGCTTGCTGTAACCTCCACCTCCTGGGTTCAAGCAATTCTCCTGTCTCAGTCTCCGAAGCAGCTGAGATTACAGGCATGCACCACCATGCCTGGCTAATTTTTTTGTTTTTCAGTAGAGATGGGATTTTGTCATGTTGGCCAGGCTAGTATCAAACTCCTGACCTCAGGTGATCCACCCACCTGGGTCTCCCAAAGTGCTGGGATTACAAGTGTGAGCTATCATGCCTGGCCCATGCTCTTTCAATGAGAAATTGGAAAATGAAATTAAGAAAAGAATTCCATTTACAATAGCATAAAAAAGAATAAAATACTTAGAAATAAATCAAACAAAAGAAATGAAAGATTTGTACACTAAAAGCTAGACAACATTGTTGAAAGAAATGAGCCTGATTATTCCTAATAATCAAAATGTGAAAATCATGCAAATGTCTATCAACTGATGAATGGATAAACAAAATATAACATATATATACACATTAGAATCTTATTTGGACATCAAAAGGATTGAAGTATGATACCTGCTATACTATGAATGTGTCTTGAAACCATTATGCTAAGTGATAAAAATCCAGTTACAAAAGGCCACATATCATATTATTTTATGTATTTAAAATATCCAATTTAGGCAAACCTATAGAGATGGAAAGTAAATTAGTTGTTGCCAAAGGCTGAGGGGATGAGGTGAGTGGAGGGTGATAAAGGGTACATGGTTTCTTTCTAGGGTGATTTAAATGTTTTTAAATTGATTGTGAGGATTGTTTCACAACTCTGTCAATACTAAAAAACATTGAACTGTACACTTCAAATTGATGAATTGCATGGCATGTGAATTATGTCTCAATAAAACTATCACCAAAAAATCAACAACTGTCCAGGTCACCAAAAACAAGGAAAGTCTGAGAAACTGTCACGGTTAAGAGGAGACTGAGGAGACCTGATGACTTAATATGATGTGGGATTGTGAAATCCTGATGAGATCATGCAATAGAAAAAGTAAGGAAATGTGAACAAAGTATGTATTTACTTAATAATAATCTATCAACACTGGCTCATTTATCACAATAAATATACCATCCTATTGTTAAGACGTTAACAATAGCAGAAACTGCCTATGGGGTCTATGTACTACCTTTGCAATTTTTATTTTACCTAGAGCTATACTAAAATTAGAGTTTATTTATCTATGAGACAGACTCTCACTCTGTCGCCCAGGCTGGAGTGTAGTGGCACAATCTTGGCCCACTGTGACCTCCACCTCCCAGGTTCAAGCGATTCTCCTGCCTCAGCCTCCCCAGTAGCTGGGACTACAGGTGTGCACCACCACACCTGGCTCATTTTTATATTTTTCGTAGAGATGGGGTTTCATCATGTTGGCTAGGCTGGTCTCAAACTCCTGACCTCAAGTGATCCACCCACCTCAACGTCCCAAAGTGCTGGCATTACTGGGTGCCCAGCTGAGTTTATTTTTTAAAATACATCTTTGCAGTTTTGAGAGAGGTGCTTGAGAAGTCCATTTAATTACATTTGTATCAATTCTCCCTTGCTTTACATATTTAGCTGCTATTGTTTTCGGTGCACACAGATTTGACTTATCCACATATTGTAGCCTTTATCAGTGGCTTTTTTTGTTGTTAGTGTTTTTTCCCCTAAAACCCATGTTAATTTTAATAGGGCTATTTTAGCAGCCCCATGGCACACATGATTTCTGTGTGGCCACAGTGAAGTGGCATCTTTGGTACTCTTATTCATCTTCTCTCCTCTTCATACACTACTTCGGTGTTTCTACCACTTTAAGACTTCGGAAACTTTTTTGCTTCACCTGTGTCCCCACCTCCCAGTTCAGAAATTTGCTGAATACTTATTAGAATCCCCCACATCCCTTCTATTTCAAGGATTTTTGCCTTTGCTTGCTCGTGTTTCATGACAGCAGCCTCTCCACATCCAACCATAGGGATTTTGTTATTTGCCTCATTTTTCTGGTTTCCCGCAACTTGAGTTCTGTATTCTTTGTGGGGTGGTGGGGTGGGGGGGGTTAGTGATTGCTTAACTATTTTCTTCAGATGGAGTGTGTGGGTGATATACACCAACGTTTGCATAAAAAGAGTATTTTTAGCTGCTTTTTAAAAATTTTATATCCATTTTTAAAGCCTTCACTACTTCAAAAATCAAAAGAATCCTGAAGTTTATGAACAATTGAAGAAGGCGTTAATGAAGAGAGATCACAATTCAAATTGTCTCTCTATCCTTTCATTTCTGCAGAAGGGTAGAAAGACCTATTTCCAATCTGGAAAAGGTGGAGGTTTTTCTCTTCCTTGACAGATTCAGAAATCTCCAGGAGTGGGCCTGGGAGGTAGCGGGGGTGGCTCATACCTGTAATACAAGCACTTTGGGAGGCTGAGGTGGGCGGATCACCTGAGGTCAGGAGTTCAAGACCAGCCTGGCTAACATGGCGAAACCCTGTCTCTACTAAAAATACAAAAATTAGCTGGGTATGGTGGCACGCACCTGTAATCCCAGCTACTCTGGAGGCTGAGGTAGGAGAATTGCTTGAACCCAGGAGGCGGAGGTTGCAGAGGCCCAAGATCACACCATTGCACTCCAGCATGGGCAATAGAGTGAGACTCAATGAAAGAAAGAAAGAAAGAGAAAAAGGGAGAGAGAAAGAGAGAGAGAGAGGAAAGAAAGGAAGGGAAGGAAGAGAAGGAAGGAAAAGGAAATCTGTCTCCAGGAATGAAGGCAGAAATTGGAGGAGCAGCCAGAAAGTGTTTAATGCAAATGTTAGTACAGTCAGCCTAAGCAGAGGCCAGCTCCACCCGTTGGAACGGGAGTTGAGGGTAAATACAGCAGAGAGCCTCATGCATGGGCTCTGGGAAAGGAGCCAGCCAAGCCAGCCCCGGTAATAAAAGGCAGCTGGTCTTTTTTTTGCTCTCACCTCAGAGCCCTCACCAAGCAAGGCCTGGTTTTTCAAATAGCGTTCCTTACAGATAAAAGCCATGCCTCAGTACAAATGAATTCTTGCTCTGATACCACTGAGATGTATTTTAAAGCATTGTTCCAACAGACTGATTTCACAGTAAAAGAGAGGAAGGGAGGGGTGAGAGAAAGGAGCCCAGAAGTTTCCTTGTCTGTCTCTGTGTGAATCCACCAAGCCTTTTAACAATCACCCTTAACTTGAGAGTATCTGGAAGAACGGGCCATTTTTCGTTTTCCGGAGAGAATTGCCAGCACCTATAGATTTAATAGATCCAGAGAAAGACTAAACATAACATTTAGGATCTCTGACAAGTTAACTGAAGATTGCACCCCAGGACAAGTTACTTAGCCATTTCCTTCTATATATGATATAATTTTTAGCGTAATCACATTTTCTCAGATCTCAAGGAAGAGCCCTAGGGAATATTTTTAATTATAAGACAGACTTAGCTTTTGGCCTTATGTATTATGAAGCATCTTTGTCAACATCAGATAGTTGAGTCCTAGGTAGGACCAGATGGGAGCATTCATACAGGCTTATATGAGGTACTTCAGTTCCTCTTATCCTCAAATCTGCTCTCACCTCATCGCCTGAATGTACAACATCTGTGGCTTTGTTCTCACTTGCACTCTCTGATGGGAAGCTGTATAATTCGATCCATTGTGCATTAAAGGTGTTTTGTTAGGATGATCATTTAAAATACACACTCAAAAAGGCACACTCCAGGGTGCCACATATTAAATATTTTATCTCTTCTCTTTAAAACAATCAGAGCTAAATGTTTTTACAGATAATCCCAGACCTCATTATAGAGGAGTAAGTGCACACTCTTATGAACCATTCTTTCTCAATAACCTGGCTTATGAATATCTTCCTCTTCTCTCTTCCCATTTTCACATTTAACCCAGTTTCCTACCTTTTGAAATTCAGCAGAATCTTCTCTGTCTTGTGTAGCCTTGGCTGTGTTCTCCTGACCTCAGATTCAGAGACAATTCCTGTGGGTTATCTACTCAATGCCACCCACGATGTGAAAGCTGGCCTGTAGCGGGCTGTCAGGAGCTGATGCCTTCATGTGATTATCATGCTCTGCACTGTCTTTTGGAAAGAAAAAAAATCAGTGAAGCACTGCTGGTCTTGCTGTATCTTCAGGCATTATTATTATCAAGGAAAAAATATTTAAATATTTAAAAATAATTATTATAAAAAATGTTATTGACAAATAGCAGATTCTCCTTCAAAAGGCAAAGATCCCATAGGAGCAAAGGAGTCCAGACACCTTGTGGTCTATTCCCTGCCCCTGGGATGGGCTGGGGCCATTCTAGAATTTCAGAGCATTTGTTCTCTCCACATAGGATGGCTCGATGTTTATGCTTAATTGCAGTAAGTTTCCTTAGCATAGCAGAAGCTTCACAGGACACCCTCCAGTTCTCCCAGTTAAAAGTGATGCCCCCAAGAGGATAAGCCCCTTTACCAGGCTGAGCCATTAGAATCTCTTCCTCCGGAGTATGGATTGGGAATGTGTAGCAAGGCCCCTGGTATGTAAACACAGGTCCTGCTGGTGGCTGTGTTTTCTACTGTGTGGACTGGAGAACAAAGGAAGCAGAGGCACAGGAGGAGGAGGATGGGCAGAGGGGTAAGATGAAAGCAAAGCAAGGGTCCTCCTTGCTGACAGCCAGGCCCCTCCCTGGTTCCATTCTTCCCAGAAAGCCTTGCTGCATCACAGGTACATGAGTACTCTTCTATGCTTACAACTCTTCCTCACTTATTTTGTTTTTGGTTTTTGAGACAGGGTCTCACTCTGTCGCCCAGGTTGGAGTTGGATTGCAATGGTGTCATCTCAGCTCCCTGTAACCACTACCTGCCAGGTTCAAGCCATTCTCCTGCCTCAGCCTCTCTAGTAGTTGGGACTACAGGCGTGCCCCACCATGCCTGGCCAACTTTTTGTATTTTTAGTGGAGATAGCATTTTACCACGTTGGCCAGGCTGGTCTCAAACTCCTGACCTCAAGTGATCCACCCGCCTCAGCCTCCCAAAGTGCTGGTATTACAGGTGTGAGCCACAGTGCCCCGCCTCAGCCTCCCAAAGTGCTGGTATTACAGGTGTGAGCCACAGTGCCCCGCCTCTCCCTCACTTATTTTTTCCCTTAAAACAGCTCAAGCAAGCTTCTGATAATGACCAGAAGCTTCCTTACTGATACACATATCTAACTTTTAAAGACTTGTTATTCTTTCTCTTCTCCTTTTGCCTCTTCCACTTTATCATCTGGTGTTATGCCTTCGTGGTTTTGCTGTGGACGCACATGTACACTTGTGCATTGTAAGTCGACTTGCCAGTCCATATGGAAAAAATGAAAGACAGATTCATCCTATTCATAAACAAATGCAGGGAAAGGCATTTCAGAGCCTGCCCTGGTGAGTCACCCGCACCCCCTCCTGTGGGGCAGTCACTCTTTAGCACAAGTCTGTGTGGAAAGGCAGAGCTGGGGATTGTAGGCGCTTTCATTTTTTCAAGAGAAACCAAAATAATGATTTTTATGAGAAATCTCTTAGTTTTGAATTGTCGATTCAAATTATGCTTAAATATGCAGTAACCAGCCCCCTGCCCACCGCAAAAACGTTTGCAGGCTGCTTGCAATCTCTGCTTTCCATCCTGTTAGTCACACTGTGGACTGAGGACCAGCAGCATCAGCAGCACTCAGGAACTTACTAAAAATGCAGAATCTCAGGCCTACCACAGACAGGATGAGTCAGAATCTGTCTTTTCACAAGGCCCCCAAGTCATTTGTCTGCACATTAAAGACTGAGAAATCCTGGCTTAATTCACTTGTTCCTAAATTTGGCTGCATATTGAAACTGCCTAAGAAACTTAAAAAATAAAATAAAATACTAATACATGAATTCTGCTTCCAGGAATTTTGTTCTAATTAGTCTGAAATGCATACTGGACAAAACAAAACAAAACAAAAAAACCTCCCCAGCTGATGTTTACAGGTAGCAAATGTAAATGTAAAGAATGGCTGGTCTACCACAGGACCCAAAACCCCTTCCTACTGCCTCCCGGGTGATGTCCAGCAGCTCATGCAGACCTTATCCACCTTTGCTCCTGAACTGGCAGCTCCAGGTATGGAGTCTCAAGACTTTCACAGGAGGTGGACGTTCCAGCTCCACAAATATTGCCAGAAAATAATTTTGGGAGAGGAATGGGGAAGAGCGCTTCAATTTTTTTTTAATTTAATGACCCTAAATTAGAAGGCAGGACTTTCTCAAATGCCACAAAGAAATAATGAGTATGAACATTTTAGAAAAATAACTATTACAGTCAAAGTACTCAGTTGCGCAGTACAAAGATTCCAAACACACAGGACTTAAATCTGTATCTTAAATGATCGCAGGCATCTGAAAATCCTAGTTCTTTGAAAATGTGGCCAAATAAGAAGGGAGAGAATAACAACAGCAAAATAACCGAGAGTGAACCCTGAGATGCCTAAAATTAGAGTGCAGGAAAAGCATCTTCTTTTACCTTCTGACCCCTTGTCTTGTCACTCTGATCATTGCTTCTAGAATACATTCCAGCAGCTAAAACAAGCTTTTTGTTTGTATCTGAGTGTATGTATAAAATTCTTCCAGTGTGACAAATTGCAAACAAAAACCAAGCCCCCAATTTTTTATCCCTTGTTTGGATGGCCTGTGCAATGTGATCTGTGGCTACTCCCCTCAAGAAGAAGAGTATTTCAGTCCATCCTTTGAATCTGGGCTGGCCACGTGGCTTCCCATAGCCAATAGAATGTGCAGAAACTGTGCTCCCATTCCTGGGCCAAAGCTGCGGGGTACCTGGCATGCTGCCGCTCGCTCTCCTGGAGCACCGCTACTGCTATGTATGCAAGCTGGATTCGCTAGATTCGGAGAAGACCGAAGGCCCTCCTAGACCTCCCAACAGCCAGCTGACCCCCCAATACTTGAGAAACCCCCGCCAATATCAGCAGTCACATGCCTAACCCACAGTTGACCAAAAAACGCATGAGCAAGCCCAGTCAAGACCAGAGGAGTCACCCATCTGGCCACAGCATAGTGAATTAAGTAAATACTTGATTGGTTACATACTGACATACCGATAGCTAACGGACATACCCAGCCTAGAGAATTTCAATTTAAACATTAATATTCTAAAGAAATGGAGTCCAACGAAATAACTGGAAGATAGTCAAGTGATACTAGGGAACACTAAGGAAAGAATAAGTTTCTTTTGTCAATTTTGTTCCTCCATTGAGTCATTTAGGGACTGCACTGCTGTGTTACCTTGCTAAGTCAAGGAGCTGAGCAAAATTGGGGCCAGCAAAATTGGAGGTGGTGCATATTGAGAGGATGTACCTGGGCACAGCATCTGACAATGACTTCCAATCCACTTCCTAATTCCACCTCCACTACTGCTCCTTTTATATTTTCATCTACATTATTGATCATTGTAATTTGAAGACCAAATTTAAATAGGAACAATGTTCATGTTCTGAATAACATCACGTTTATGGATTCCTTAGATAATTCTTATGACTTAGTACGATTTCCCAAAAGATAACAGCATCACATGTCCCAGGGTTTTCTGCAAACTTCCTAAGAAAACTGAACTGTTTCATAAGAAACTGCTTTCAATATTCTTGCTAGAAATCAGTTTAAAATTTAGCTCAAATGGGAAAAGAAAAAAAAGTCAGCATTTATAAGATAACATATGCATCACAGACTCAGTCTTCTCTCTCCTCTCACAAATCAGATGTAATGTTCAATCTTTGGGCAGTAGGCAGCTTTGTAGGTGAGAGAATTATTCTGCTTGTACCTCCCTATGACATAGAATTAAGGCTGGATTTCTTTCTCTCTTTTTTCGGCTTAGATTTTTTTTATTATTATACTTTAAGTTCTGGGGTACATGTGCAGAATGTGAAGGTTTGTTACATAGGTATACATGCACCATGGTGGTTTGCTGCACCCATCAACCTGTCATCTACATTAAGTATTTCTCCTAATGCCATCCCTCCCCTAGACCCCCACCCCCTGACAGGCCCCAGTGTATGATGTTCCCCTCCCTGTGTCCATGTGTTCTCATTGTTCAACTCCCACTTATGATTGAGAACATGCAGTGTTTGGTTTTCTGTTCTTGTGTTAGTTTGCTGAGAATGATGGTTTCCAGCTTCATTCATGTCCCTGCAAAGGATGTGAACTCATTCTTTTTCATGGCTGCATAGTATTCCAGGGTGTATATGTGCTACATTTTCTTTACCCAGTCTATCTTTAAAAAAAATGCAGACATAATTATTTTCAACTGGTTCTTCTTTTAGTCCTGCAAAAATCCCTGAGACAAGGAGAAATAACAAAAGGTAAAACTATCTGTTTGAAACTGTGGGGTGGTGGTGAGGGAAGCAGAATATGAAACATACATTAAAAGTATAATACACATATTCAACCTTATAAAGGAAGTAAATCCTGACACATGCTATAACATGGATGAACCTTGAGGATACTACGCTAAGTGAAATAAGCCATAAGGCTGGATTTCTGCAGACTTCTCCTCACCTTCATAGCTGACTTAATTTGCCAAGATGTGAACAGAAGCAGTCACATAATCCTATTCTAAGGCCATTCGTAGTTTCTGACAAAGGTGGGTGGCTGCCTCAGATCAAGGGATATCCCAAAGATGAACAATATTTGTATTGAGAAGCCAGATATAATTTCAGGAGGTAAACAGAAGTCTCACGTTCAGGTAAATACAAGACTAATTAAGGAAGTTGCTTTTTTCTCTTAATAGCGAGGTTGGCAAGCCAAGCACATGGCGTATTTATGGATCTCTGTCCCGGACATTATGAGGAATAAAAAAGCCATCCCCCACACAGTGACTGCCCTCAAGGAGCTCACAATCTGGTTAAAGAGACACAATGGTCAGATCCGAGAACAAGGGGTGTAGATCAATACTTCCAAGAGGTGTTGTTGAGATGGTAAACGGTACCTGAGTGACCAGAGTTACAGGACACAAGACTATGCTGTAAGCTGGATAACTCATGGAAGGGCATGGGGAAAGAAAATCAAGAAATCAATGGTGAGACTGAGCAC